CAATAATAATATAATAATAGATTTTATTTGGCCTTTTATGAACTATGAAGGATGATGCTCATTAATACGTTTGTTGAGCCGTCTAGTTGTTCGCTTTTATTTTATTCAAGACAAACTTGGTACAATATGGGCATCAGGAGATGCCCAACACAAAAATAACAAAAGAATAATACATGAAGAATGTAGGGAGAGAGGGAATGAGGGACGTCGGTCGGAAAACAAGAAAGCATACCTGTCAAGATCATTCAACATTAATAACTTGATGTTACTTTCAGAAAAGGAAAAAAGGAAGGGAATCGCAGCATTTTCGCCACTGGTTGCAGTTCTTGGCCATATCTGCTAACGTTTTGAGCCACTGATTCGAACAATTTCTTGTGCCAAGTAATGCTAACGTGACACAAATATCCTTCACTCCACGAAGCCACTTCATAGGGTAACCACCTCTGCGCTTTTTGCATCCAGTCCCAGAGATAGCCGAACAGGAACCGGCACGGAAGCCTCTGGGATGACATTCGTACCACATATCCAAGCCACCGAACCCAGTGTTGTTGGATGACGACACTCAATGATTGATGATCTCTAACGTGCCTAAACATATGCTGCCGGTCATCAGAGTTACTCACACGATAATACTATCAAATGCAAGCAATCCCATGGAGACAGCGATGAATGATTACACAGAGTCGCCGTACATTCCTAGCTGGGAGGTGCCAGGTTTCAGAGGCGTAGAGTAAGGTAGCGTGCACTGAACCATTGTAAACCCAAACTTTAGCGGCCAGGCTGATGTCATGAAGGCGTTACAAGTATCCCAAACTGGCGTAAGCCACCCTACCTTTCGTCCGTCACGCTTCCACTAGCGCTCACACACTCACCCAGATACACTAACTTGTCGACAACTTCAACCGGTTTATCTGCAACGGTAAATGCAGGCCCAGGTTTTTAACAATCTCCTAGCAATGCTCTGCACTTAGACTGCTCATAACACATACCATACTTATAGATACCGGTTGCCAATTTATTAGGTGCGGTTTGGACAGCTTGCCTGCTATCTCACGGTAAGATGATGTCGCCTGCATACTAGAGTTCGAAAAGTCTTTCTACAGAAAGCCGATCTACACCACCATCGCACACGTCCTTCAGAGCTGACTCCATAATGTCATTGATAGCAGAGTGAAGGGGAAATGCAGAGGTTAGGCAACTCTGTCTAACCCCACTGTTCGCTGCGATCAGCAGTGATAGCTGGTTGTGTGTTCTCACTCTACCTGAATTACTTTTGTGTAGGGTTTTCAAAATGTTAAAGAACTTCTCACTAATACCTCTTTCTGAGGGACAGTTTCAGGGAGCAGTTCTTTCCAAAAATCGAAGGCAGCCCCAATATCAAGAAACACAACGATTGTTAACCTGCAAGACGTGTGACGCTTTTATAGCAACTGACGAAGGGTTAACACGTAATCAGTGCATCCACGGCCTGAACGAAATCCATCCTGCTCCTTATGAATCAGTCCCTCTGGGGATTCGCACTGGCTGGGAAGCAAGACAGAAGACAATAGTTTGGATATGACTGTTAGCAAATCAATACTCTTATGGTTGTTATACGCTCATTTTGAAGATGGGTACAATGACTGCTTTATTCCACGTCGAGGGAACATTCTCACCTTCCCATAGTTTCGTGAACAGTTCAATCATTACCCTGAAGAGAATCTAGCTACCATCTTGAAAATAAGCAAAATGTGGTTCTTCTGGACCGAATGCGTTAAAGCGTTTCAACACTTGGAGTTCCTTTCAGACCTACACTTCATTTGGTGAGCTGGTAATGACCGAACATGTTGGACGCTGGTGCTATTGACCAGCCAAACTGCACTGCCCAGCGTTCCAGTCGTCCTTTTAGGTTGGTAAATGGCGTACCATCTACCTCATAGACCGTCTCATTGAAACCATGCTTCTTGCCACATATGGCTCGGGTGGGATGCAACAGCTTCAGGCTATTGCCGGATGCAGCCGCTGATTTCATTTCACAGGCACATTCTGACCACCGTGTTTTCCAATCCTCAATTATTAACTGTTTGGTCTTCCGCGTAAGAGTCTTACACATGTTGTTATACTCGCTGTCTGCCGAAATGGACCGGCGCGCATACAGAATTAGCTAAGAACTTGCAGAAAACCAGTATTTTTCAGGAGAGCTTTCCTTTCAGTGGCAAGCGGTTTTTCTCAACATTTTCCTAACGTCTTGTGGATTTAACCACTATTCATCTAAACTATTTAGAGGGTCACTAGCTATCCTTGAATTTAACTCAGTCTGGTACTCCGCAGATGTAGCAGTTGCTACCAGCTTTTTTACATCAGCCTGTGAGGGGTACCGTCTATGAACACCACCAAATTGCATGATGAAGCTGACATACGCTTAGGTATGTTGGAAATCCAGGCATGTGCTGTAGAAGGAGTAGCACTTCTCTATGCACCCGCACCATCGAAAACCGAAAGCAAGTTGATCAGTCTGAATCCAGGTTTGATTGGCAGGGGGAGAACGCCAGGTTTAGCTTTGGCTGTGCTGGAGCTTGGTACAGGCTAGAAAAAAGTTATGATCTGAAGAAGACGGTCCCTATTACCTGACCTGCAACCTTGTAGACCTCACTGACCACCTAGACGACTCTTTCCTGAGCCTAGATGCCTGATCTGTGCATTCAAGTACCCAGCTAACCTTACGATTTCTACCTGACGCTCCTGTTTCACGAGGTTTCTCAGCTGATAATGAAACTCATCCCTAATTGCATCCAGGCTACAGTCCTTCAATGCCTAGGCAGAGATTACAAATAGGCGCCGCCTCTCTGGCTGATCAGTTCGTCCTCTGGTGTAACCACCTTGCCCTGCAGCGTATAAACGGATGTTAGTGGAGGTGCAGTCGGTTAATTCAGCTTTGTCTCTAGCGCGACACCACCACCACCTGCTTTGGATATTGACGCCACATGTTCCCCGGATAAGCGCAGGCAGTACACTCCATTTGACCTTCCAGGTGGAAATTTTCAAAGAATTTCATTTGGATCTTGAATGAGAGTTTCTGAAACAGCAGATAACGATAGCGAGGCTTCCTACTCTTCTGGCCAAACGTGCCTGCAGTTTGATTTGCATCGGTGTGCAAACATTGTAGGTGGCAAGCTTGAACGCGGCATATGGCTTCAGGATATCCATATTAAATATCGCATTGGAGATCAGCACTTTGGAGACTACACACTAATAACTCCAAAGGATACAGATAGGCTGGTAAATTAAATTTAAATTAGTGGGACATATCAAATTTCAGTCTTCAAGCTAGCTGCTAGCGGGTAGTAGAGTGGTGTTTATTTTTGTTTATTTGTAGGGATTTGACCAACTCCATAGCAAATGATGTAGTCAGTAAAAGTTATCGATCATGTCACAAATTCGAGAATTAAACGTCCACATTGAAATTACTGATTAGTATCTCAGGATTTAAAACTGTACCTTGTACTAGGCTTACTAACATATTTCTATGTAAAGATTCAGTTCTTCCTCGAAGGTGTTAATCTATGAAGTCGCCATCATTTAATCTGCGAACAAGTTTCAGTCTCTGACCATCTTGAGAATGAATCTGAATTTTACCTGAGGTTCATTCTTTTGTATAAGATAAAGTCAGAAGCTGACTGATTAAATATTCAACCACTTAAAATAAACTTTATGAAGACATGAAATTAGGTTTGAAAGAAATAGGTGACTTCCAAGATACTTAATAAGGACGTTTTCAGTTCAGTCGGATCTTCGATTTCGTTTTCAGTTCAACCGTTTTTTACCGAAAACTATAACAAGTAGGATATATATGTTCATATATTATTCCCTTAGGTTTCTAGTGGAATATAGGGCTTCAATAGCACATCTCCATTTCACCTTGTTTTCCGCAGTCCTCTTCAGCTGGTTCTACGATTACTCATAGATTACCATTTCCCTCTCACAGGATCTCTTCCATGACACCATCGGACCAAAGCCGAACTTGTTGTTTCCAATTCAGGTTCCAGTCAAGGGCCAACCTGGCACGTGAAGTCACTCAACAGTCTCCTAATCGTATGTCTTATCCGTCTCCGGAATATTTGTTAGGCAATATGTTCTTGGTTGGTTCTTTGTCTGCAGCTAGAGTTCCTCATACCTAATACTTTCTGGTTACCTATCTGATTTTCAATTTTATGAGGAAACAGCTTTGTTGTTGATGGAAATCTGCAGAAGGTTGTTTCAAGGTGTCTCAAGTTTCTGAAATGTATAAAAGCAATGGTTTGATATGAATTGTGTTCCGTAGGCTAAGTGTAGTAGATTTCTACACTGGTTTCAGAGTAGTGAGGCTTTGTCTCGCCTTTCCGATCAGGTTTTTGACATCTCTCTCTCTATATATTTAAGTATTCGTTAGTCAAATTAGCTTATTTAGTTTTATACTGCCTCAAAAAGTAAGTTAAACCAAATAGTTTCCCTAAATCAAAAGTATTTTCTAGTACCGCACTAGGCTAGTGATTTAACGCACATACGTACGCACGCAAGCGCGCGCATACGTGCGTGTGCGTGTGTAGGAGTAAAATCATATTCTCATCTTTTCTTGAAATAACCAATAAGAAAGTGAATTTTTATATGCCATACATTTTTCTGACCTGAATATCACCATAGTTACGCTATCCACCAATTCTATACAACTGATTACAAGTTTGTATAATTGTTATAAAAGAATAATATAATATCAATAGGTGTCACATAAACAATTTATACAACTCTCTGCCTCTCTCTCTCTCTCTTCATCTATATGAAGCATCTTCAAGAAAATATCTATTTGTAAGTAGTACTGATAGTATTCAAATTTATGCAAGTTATGATTTTATTCTATTCAGTTCAGTCTAACACTTATATAATCAATCGATTGAAATAAATGATTTATTCTATATTCAAATTCCATTGGTCAACTATATATATATCTAATAGTAATAATAATCTACTAGGCTATTTTATTAAACATAGGCTATTGAGGCTATTTATTAGTTAGTTAGTCAGTTATAATTTTTACTGAATGTGAAACAAAAAGATTGTCTTGTACTAAAGATTGTCCTGTAATTGAATCCTAATCTATTCATACTACTTATGTTGTTACTGTTGATATTACATAAAAAAGGATTACTTTAATGCAATGATATTTTCTAATAATGGAACTATTCAGCTTTTTTCTTCAAAAGTCGAAGTAATACTTCCATATTCAATTAATTAATTGATAAATAAATAATAACAATAGTGATAATATTGTTGTTCGGTGATATAATTATAAAAAAAGATGTGAATACATTGGAGATTGATGAATATACATGAATATATAAGTGTTTAAGTAGTTTGTAATATTAGTGATACTATTATTATTGTTATTGTCATTACTAGTGGTAATAGTATTATTAATTATTAGTAATAATTAGTCATGGATGAACTACAACGTCTTTATGAACATCAAACAATGATGGCAATTGGAATATATTCATTTTTAGATAATCTATTATCTCATTTACCATCAACATCAACAACAACATCTACGCCGTCGCCATCGTCAACACATAATGATAATGAAAATTCTCCAAGAAGTTTACTACAAGAACATACATTGAATACTACTAATGGAATAATAAGAGAAACTAGTACAATTACAGATGATTATGCATCGAATATTATGTATGATTTAAATGTACTTACTGCTGGTGATACATTTAATGAAAGAAATGAACGTATACGAACAACACTGACGCCTTCAAGAACACTAATAACCTGGCCATTAAGTGATTTAAGCATACCTAGTATAAACAGTTCACAATTACATCCAGTAATACAGAATTCTGTTAACACTACTAATAATATTGAGAATAATTTAAGTGATAATATTGATTCAATGTGTACACAAGATTCAGCATCATTATTAAAAGATATTCAACCTGGTGGTTATCTTGAAGAAATATTTATTTATTTATCGAATAGTGAAAAAGAAGAATATTTATGTACTATATGGTAAGCTGATTTATTATTATTTTTCATATATTTAGAAATATGATAATACATTGGGTTACAACATACATACAGTAAGGGGATAAACATATAAAAGAATGCGTTCTTTGATTGCACATTAGACAGTAACTAGTGTCATGCATCCAGTCCTCCGTTTGATGTAGATTGAATTTCACCAGAGTCAAGTTTGCAGTGTGGCCACTATTCTAGGTAGCTCGCTGTCATGGTGAACAGTTGTCATTAGATGGTTGGAGGCAATCAGCCAGAAGCCTTGCACCTGTGTCTCGTCCTAGCAGTGTAACAACAGAAGACAAGGGTCAGGCAACAGATCGTTTATTAAGGAAAATCAACACATATTTATAGATTTTAATGTACATTATTGTAGATTATTGTTAGTAGAAAATACAGTCTGTTGATTGGTTGTTTCTCACAGAAAGTTAACCTTGCATCTCTTTGTGGCTGTGTCAGATCATCCATATGCTAACTGTATCCGCCTACGCAAAGCCTTTGTTCTGATTTTCTCACCACCAATATTGGGGACATAAACATTGACGTCAGTTACTGTCTACCAACTATGGCTAGCAGTCAGCTCTCACCACAGTAGGAACTCACCAGTCAGTATGGCGTATCTGTAGTCTTGAAGGAACTCATGTCCTAGTGCTTCAGTCAGAGACGTTACCACTGAGCTATTCGGGCCGGCGGCTGACCTCCTGTAGGACTGTATTGAATACTTTTGAATAAAGACTAGGCAGTAAGTGACTAGTGTCACGCGTCTTCTTCCTTGGTTGGTACAGACTGAATTCTATCAGTTAAGTTTGCAATGTGATCACCACGATAGGTGTCTTGCCATCACAGTATACTGTGGTCTGTTGTTATTCGATGGTTGGTAACGTCTCTGACTACAGATCTGGGTGATTCTGTTTCAGATATCAGGGGGTCATGATCCCCTTCAAGACTGCAGATACACCTTGCTGATAAGTACCAACAAGCACGAAACATTTGTGCAAGGCATCTTGTTGATTGCCTCCAACCATCTAATTACAACAATTCAGGGTGAACCATGATGCCAAGCCATGCAGAATGATGGCCACATTACAAACTGACATATATATATATATATATGAAAGAATGCCTTAAATGAGAACTTTTGATACGTTAGTAATTGCTAATGGCTTAGGATATGTAGCTGAATGTTTTTGTTTTTAGGCTAAGTTTTCAATTAAACCGTAAACTTCATTGTCTATACGACATTTATTTCACGAATATTTATATGTATCAGTTATCTCTAGTTGAATTGTTTTTTTTTTGGTGAGAACGAAAGTTCCTACATGTCCTACTAGACTAGAAAAGTCATTGGAGTAGTGATTAATTCACGTAAATTTATACTATACTTAGAGTAATTTGTTTGACACTATGATGCTAATGAAATGGCTCAAATTGTTCTCTGTGTATCTATCTTTTTTTTAAAAATTATTTCGTTGAGTTCCCAGTGGAACATAAGGCTTCAAGCTACAGCTTTAAAGTTTCAGTAGCAGTGGTGTTTTTACAGGGTGGGCGTTGCTAACCCCTCACCCAACCTTCCCTCTTTGTCAGGACTGTAATCGGCTAACGGAGGCAAAGGTATGCGCCGACCGGGACTCAAACCCCAGACCACATGCATGGTTGGCCAGCGCTCTACCCCATACATTTTTGCGTATTTTTAAATTATAGTCTGTCGGCATTTCTTTTTCATCTAATTTTGTGAGTGTGTATTATTTTATAGAGTATGGCAACTTGAACTGTAGAACATTTGTGTAAAGTTCTCTGCTTATCCTTATAGTATTATTAGGATTATTATTTTGCAACTTGTTTTCTTATGATTTCTGTACTTTTTATTGACTTGATGAGACATGTGTGGCTTTATTAGTTGTTTATACTTTTTTGTTAGAAATGACTATTACGAGTTTTTATTTCTTAGAATAGATTTAGCAAAGATTATTAATACTTTCTGCTTTCTCTATACTATTTTTATAATGACGCTTAAATTAAACGCTTGAGTAATAAACTACAGAAGAGAAAGAGAAAAATTACAATTAGCGAACTAACTGTTTTATGATACATTTGAAAATTGATAGGTTCATTTGATCTCTTTGTTATATGATTTATATATAAAATTGAATTAATCCGCCTTATGCAAAAAGGATATGTGTGAAGCTTATATGACAGCTGGAAATTTTGTTTATGATTATTTAAGATTATTTATTTAGCATCATATTTCTGTGTTTTTAGTTTCTTAATGTTATGCTTTTTTCGCAATTTTATAAACTTTTTAAGCTTTTCATTCCTTAATTTATGTAACTCTGTAATCATCAAAAATAGGGACAAATCATGTCAAGGTGAAGACGAAGCTGATCGAAGGCGTTGTTGGAGGGCAGCGGTATGCATCACGAGTTGACAAAGTTAGAATTAAGGAACTATTGAATTTCATTAGTCCAAGTCGGGGTGGCCGAGCGGTCTAAGGCGCCAGACTCAAGAGTAATCTTCTCGGGTGTTCTGGTCCACGATGTGGGCGCGGGTTCGAATCCCACCTCCGACACACGCTTGTGCGTCGGTGGCACAGTGGTTAGGGCTCTTGCCGACCATGCACATGGTCCGGGTTCGATCCCCGGCCACAGACGCACTCCTTTACCTCGCTAAGCCAGAAATAATGCTGGTAAAGAGGAAAGGTTGGGTATGAGGCTAGCAACCCCATCCTGTCAAATAAACACTGCTACAGAAACTTCAAGCCTCCAGTTTGAAACCCTATGTTCCACTGGGGAACGTGAGGGAAAAGAAAGATACAATAACCGGTGAAGTCAAATCAAAGTTATTTCAAAAGCTCTATTGAGATATAAGAATAATAGGGAGAAATAGGCAGTTAATTTTGATTAACGCCCAGATGTATGTATAAGATATGATCAATAAGATGTAAAGCATTGATTTTTTTCCTACATAGTTACCACTATTCACAATTACAGTACCATAAAAACTTCCTTGTGTTTATTGACTTGAAGACAATCGTTTGATTTTGATTTTAGAATGACTTCTATCATACTTGGTATGATTTTACTGATAACAATAATCAGTAATAGTAATCGTTTCAAGTCTCTCTAACTCACATTCAGAAGATGGTATTAAATCTAAATTTCTGGATAAAAAAGGGTCTGTCTCTGAATGGTTAGTAAATACTCATCTACCACAAGATTCAAGGTTAGGTGATAAAATGTTCGTTATCAGTTTTGTCTGGACTGACATTAGAGTAAAGTTGAGAACATAGTGGAAATGATGCATTTGAATGCTTAATTCTCACTGTTAATCTGATTGTAAATGGCATCGGTGGCACAGAGGTTAGGATTCTCGCCGACCATGCACATGGTCCGGGGTTCGATCCCCTGCCGACGCACACCTGATATCTATGGTCGGCCTGCAAAATTTGGGCTACCGATATCCATGCTGAAAATTCCATACTTGTACTGAAAATACGGTGTGGCGTCAAGCTGTAACCAAAAAAATTAAAATTAAGTGGCTGAACGGTCAACAAGCTTAGTCTTATAACCTGAAAGTGCCAGCAATTTTTGATGTGGTTGTGTTCTCTGAGCTGGATAGTTAATTTGCGAAGCTTTCATCACCCTACTAGGTGACATCTTCAGCGCATACTTCAATTCAAATTGAAGTATGAACTGAAGATGTCACTTAGTAGGGTGATGAAAGCTTCGCAAATTAACTATCCAGCTCAGAGAACACAACCACACCAAAATCATCCACCTGAGCTACAAAATCTTCTCTATCATATCTAAGTGCCAGGGTTCGATTCCCGGTGGAGTCGTGGGTATGCGCTACTGAAGAGGAGTAGTCCTCAATGATCTCTCTAACTGATATTGGTTCACGACAAAATTCTAAAAATTCGTAAATTCACTTCAAAGCTGCACAGTTACATAGTGTTTTAAAACTTCATGGAAATGTCTACAAAGGTCAAGTGTTGATATCAATTAGTTTTCATAAAACATTCAAAAATAAAATATCAGGAAAAAAGCGAAAAAAATGACCAAAACTTAATTAAGTAATCTTACATAACTTCGTGTTTTCTTTTTGTATAACGAGAGCTTCTTCTCTGGACAGAAAATTCAGTCGGAAGCCCTTCAGAACTCTTGGCCCTATTTTGCATTATCAATTTAAGAGATTTCTCTATTGATGCAGAATGATAATATAAGAACAAAAGGCTCAAGAACTAAGCTATTGGTTCGTCTGGTTTCTGCTTTTGAAAACAATTTTATGTAAACCAAGATAACATCATGCTTGTACAGCCCAATCACTTAATTCCACAGGAACAGATGAAGTGATATATATATATACACATAGACGTTGCCAACGGTGAAATTATTGTCTTTGACATTTTAATGAATACGAGGCTGGATGGAGAAGGTTAGATGCAAAGATACAAAACACAGAAATATTATTTAAACTGCCTTAGATAACCTGCTTCAAACAATCCTCCGTGCTGTTGTGTCCCTTCTCAATTTTGGGTTCATAACTAACTTCTGTGTTACTTCTATCTTTGGCAGATTATCCTGTGTTCAGTGATGAATGCCGGTGGATAAACATTCCGATTCATTATTTCTGAAAGATTTCAGTTCTCTGTTTAATTTGTCTTCCGTGCATGTGCGATAGGTTCTTGCGAGAAGACGTTTGACGGCATTTGTTTTTCTACTAATTACAAAGCAAAGCTGTAGAAGTCAGTCATATCTACTTGTTCCACTCTGGTTTGTGTTGAATTGATCTTTGTATTGATATATATAAGTTCTCCTCGAAACCTGAACATCTAAGAAGGAGAGCCTTTCTTCTTATCTAACTTTTAGAGTAAAACTAACCGATCGATGAATGTTATTTGGTAGTTCAAGGATTTTTGTTAGCTCAACTCTTTCATTGATAATAATGAAAAAAATCATCCATATTATCGCCTATAGACTTTGAGCTGTTTTATAGCT